CTTAGACGTTTCTTAGTCCATGATGTACACGACGACTTCTTTATTTTCTTGACTTATGCCTCTCTTTGTAATAAAAAAAAAAAAAAGAATGAACTTTCTTTTAGTAATATTACCAAAGAGATTCAAGTTGTTTCATGATAATTAAAGATTTCAAGTATTATCTAAAAAATAAAATTTGTAGATTTATTATTTGTTAAATAATTGAAAATAAATTAGACTCTTAATTTGTATGTTTAGTTATTTTTATATTAAAAAATATAAATAATATATTTCACACTCTCATAATTAATTCCCAAGCCGCAGAATGGCACCGTCGTCCAAACAAATAACATTATCTCCCCTCGCATACGTATAAACAAAGCACCACATACAGGTTATCCGCTCAACTTCCAGAGCGACGAAGATAAGGCTGGCCATTCGGTCAGTCTGGAAAATTTCTTGTCTCAAGCATGGCGTCGGCTGTGGTTGTAGGTGCCTCTTCTTCTTTGCCAGTCATCAAAACTGCACTGAATCCATCTCCAAAACCATCTGTCTCTCCTAATTTACAGGTAGGGATCCCTAATTTTTCAGCACCAGCACATACATATATATACACACATACTTATCGTTACTCTTTCCTAATTTCTCAATCCCTAGAAAACTGCATTTCACGGATTACCCCTCAGAGAAGCCAAAAGGGGTTTTACGTGTGAGAAAAAGATAAACTCGAATCACATCAGAAAAGGTCTTGAGATCAATGCACGAACCGCAGGAGCTTCGAAGAACATCGAAGTGGAGGTTGACAAGCCACTAGGTTTGACATTAGGTCAGAAGCCAGGCGGCGGCGTAGTCATCACTGTAAGTGTCCCAGATCGATGAAATGCTGCTTCTTGTTGTTGTTGTTGTATAAATTGTGAAATTGAAGGTGAATGTTACTGATAATTAATTTAATTTAGGCTGTAGATGGAGGTGGGAATGCGGCTAAAGCAGGATTGAAGGTGGGGGATCAAGTGCTTTACACCAGTAGCTTCTTTGGGGACGAACTTTGGCCGGCTGATAAGCTCGGATTTACAAAAACTGCCATCCAAGCAAAACCAGACTCTGTCTACTTCGTTGTTTCCAGGTTCTCTTCTCTTTTTTCTTGTTCGCTTCACATGTTTTACGTTAAGCGTATTTCATTAATTCGTTGAATCAAATATAAGTTGAACTTAATGGGTAAATTACTCAAGTTTAAATTGCAGCTTACACGTTTCTATTATTTTTCGAAGGAACAATATTTAATATAAGTCAAGGGAGGGTAAGATCGTTGCCTATTTGACCCAGCAGGGATGGGTCGAAAGTCCTTTTGACTCTGAATTTAATATAGAGAGATTCTCCATGAATAAATTTATTTTATATAAAAGTAATACTAATATAATATAATTTAATGTTATTAAATAAAAGAAATAAATTAGCCTACTACAGCAATACTCCATCAGACTCCTATTATAAAATAGACAGACATTCCTTTCACCTTAGTATGGAAGTACATATAAAATTCCATTCTCTCTTTCAAACTTGTGAGAGAGAACACCTTGATGAAGTCCAATGTACGTCAATAATCTAAAATCCACTAGGGTTTTTACCCAAATTTATGAGGAGAATAAATTATTGTATCTACCAATAAATGATTATTCATTAAAATTGGATATTTATTTTACAATGCGTAGTGTTTGTATATTTATAGTGTTCAACTCTAAAAAGAACAGTGGTTACTAAAAAAGAATCTAATAGAAATTAGCCCTGTTTAGGAGTGAAAATCTAAAATAAATCATAATACTCTGAACAATAATCATATTTGTATTTCTAGAGTTTTCTTATGCACAAGCCTTTGCCCATAAAGAAGAAAAGAAAATCAATTTGTTTGATAGGAAAGTAGAAGGATGTAGTGATCCTAAAAATGTCTAGCTTTTTGCTCTGCAACAACAACACCTATATCCATCAAAGAGTGCTCATCTGTAAAGCATCTTATTATTCGTCCCAACTCCTTTATGGGACATAAAGAGGAAACAATCAACGAAAATGGGTGTAACCCATTTGGTTCTGGAAGTATCAAAAATCCTGGACTAAAGTGTCTGACCACCTCATAATACAAAAGGAGATGGTAATAGGATTCAGCCTCCCTGAAAAACATAAGACACACATGGGAAAGGAGCATATTGGATTTGCAAACTTGAAAGTAGTCATTTCTATTGGGCCTGTGCACAATAATAGTCTAGAGAGGAAGCTTTAACCTTAAGAAATAAATTGGTGAAGTTTTATTATGATTACTAGAATTATAGGTAAGATGGATAAAGAGAGATTTGCAAGGATCTGCAGATGCACATATTTGAAGAATCGAATCTCCAAATTCTGCCATCAAGTTATGTAGAGTGACTCAAGAATATTTAAGTAAAGAGAGAATATCATATGATTGTTTGTCATCTGTGTTCATGAAGAACAACTGCCAAGAGTTGTATCCATCAAGCTGATTAATGAATGATAGATAGGAACAACCTATTGATATGATTTGAATAGTTTAGCCAAATTAGAATTGGTGACTGTGCGGAAAAGACCTTAAAGTGAACTATTTCACTAGCATTCTGGTGTAAGGTGGCTTCTATTCTTTTGAAGTATTTTGGTTTTCCACTGAGGTCTGAATATAAAGACAAAGCCGGGCTTGAGTGGTGATTAAAGTTGAAAAAAGACTTATAGGATTGAAAAGGGTCTTTTCCTCAAGGGTGCAAAACTCGTAATCATAAAAAAAAAGCTCTCTGACTTGTGCACTTATGACCTATCCTTATTCCACAATCTGACTTTGTTGGCTAAAAATATTCTTCAATGTCGCTTCTTGTTGGATGATTCCAATGACCAGAGAAGAGTCAACTTGGTGGCTTGGGAAGAAGTCAAACTTCCATTGAATAAGGATGGGCTTGCTGCAGAGAGATTTTGGTGGAGTGTTTTTAGGCCAAGTTTGATGCAGAAGGTTTAGGATGGAAAGGTAGATGTTCTTGACATCCACACGGAGTTGACCTGTGAAAGTCAATGTTGGTTGGGGTGTTTTTTGCTCTTGCATCAAGATGAGGGTGCAGTCAGGTAGAAGAATGAGATTCTGATATGACAAATGGTGTGGAAATGGTGCTAAAGAAAGAGGCATTGGATGGGGACCTTTTGTCAATTGCTACATCCTAGATAGTTTGGGATGTAGAATTGAGCAATTTAAATAATTGAGAGATGGATGAATATGAAAGTTTCTCCAATGCTTTTCGAGTTGTAGAGGATATGTCAATTTGGATGCTGACCTCTTCTGGATCCTTACTCTTCAATATTGCAAAATCCAACAATTATAATAGCCATTATGTGATTCATGTAGGGAAAAGAAAATCAAACCCAACTATTTGTGGATGGAGTTGTGAAAAATCAAACCAAACCTCTTTATTTTTCCCAAAGATCCTCCCATCTCTCTTTTCTGATCTTTTAATTTATTAATAATTTAAAATTTTATTTGTCAAGGTTTTTCAATTAATGAATCTATTTAAATAACATTTATTTATTTATGTTTTTCTTTTCCCAAATTGGTGATGCAGAGGTGCAGATGTAGATGTCAAACGGTTGCCCAAGCGTCCAGCTCCTCCTCGCTTTGGCCGGAAATTGACCGAGGCTCAGAAGGCAATTATATACTCAACTATAAATAAAAATAATTTTTACAGAAAATTAATTAAGAAAAATTTAAACCCACATCAAAAGTTCACTATACACTCTGTTTATGTTATAAATACAAGAAATTAAACTTTGATATCCCATCATTGTGTATTTAAAATACAAAAATATATGTTTTGCAGGCGAGAGCTACTCACATATGCTTAGATTGTGGATACATATATACCTTACAGAAACCATTTGACGAACAGGCAAGCTTCTCTTGTGCATTTAGATTAAATATTTTCTTTACGTAGTAATTATATATATATATATATATATATATAAAGTGAGTGTACTTTTGTGCAGCCTGATGGATATGTATGCCCACAGTGTAGAGCCCCGAAAAAGAGATTCGCAAAATATGATGTAAATACTGGAAAAGCAATTGGTGGGGGTCTGCCTCCATTAGGTGTTATTGTTGGGCTGCTTATTGGTGTTGGTGCTGTTGGAGCATTGCTCGTTTATGGTCTTCAATGACAATTCCATTCTTTCCTTTTCTTTTTCTCTCTGTATTTATTAGATATTTAATTAGATTTGTAAAAAAAAAAAAAAAGGGAAAAAGTTAATAAGCACATTGAGAAAAACACATATGAATTAAAAGATTTGGAAAATGTAATTATTATTATTTTTTAATTTTATTTTTTATAAATTTTAACAAAAAAATTAAATAAATGTTAGTGTATATGTATTTCCTAAGTACTTAATAGATATTCCTGAAATATTATTTTAATTACTTGTAAAAGTGATATTATTATGAAGATTTTACATGTAAGGGTGGTATTGTTCGAAATCTTAAACTAATTATTTGAATGATTGTGTTTGACTTGGACTAAAGCTTAATTTAAAGTTTTATTTTTAAGTTCTAATTTGACTCCCTCAAAGAAAAATATAAAGTTTGAGTTTGGTCTAAAAAAAAATATTCAATGAATGGTTAAAAATATAAATCAGTTCAAGAATACAAAATTTGTTTTAATTTTTCACGCTAATATGTTTTATTTGATAAAACAAGTGAAGAATTTAAGATATTTAAATATAATATTGTGACATTACTATAGAATATTAATTAAACTTTTATAAATATAGTTATCTTATATATATTTTTTAATAAGATATATAAATATATGTTATTTAGTAATAGATAAGTGAAGATGCATTAACTTTATGAGGTCCCACCCTCAAGTTAGTATCAAGTCTCTGATTTAATTTTTTTAAGACTAAGGCTGTGAATATTTTACTTGTTAAGATGATATGTTTTTTATTTTGTAAAAAGAGAATTTAGCATCCAATATATAAAAGTTGACCGTGAAGCAAATCCATTCGCAAGTTTGCGAATTAAAATTTTCAATATTAATGTTGCATAGTTTATGTTCTAGTATTGAATTTAATTTTAGTTTGATTTTGATTGAAACCCAATTGTATTTTTTCACAACTTTAAATAGCTTAGCGATTTCTAACTCAACAATGTTGTATATCAATCCAATGCGTATTAATTTAAAATTACGTAAATAAAATAAATAATACAATTTAAAAATGACTACTTTTATTTTCATATACTAAAAATTACATTATTCATTCTATGGATATAATATCTTATTTACATATTGATCACAGGCATATAGACTACCAACATACTAACCTAAATCTATACGATTTGTCATTATACATTTAAATTATAATTTATTTCCACTAAAAATCATTATATATTTTGAAATTAATTAGATTTTATCTTATTTGAAGAAAATAAGATTAAAGTATGGTGTACTTATTTTTGCAAGCAATACTAATATCAATTCTTTATTCCTATATACATGTACATTTGCATGCAAGTAAATATATTATGAACCCAATATATTTATGTTTGAAAAAATTAATCCCTAAAGAATGCACCAATCAACACAAGGTAAAAGCATAAAAGAAAATAACATAAATTTTACTTGGTTTGACAGTATGCCTACATTCATGGGTAAGATTAGCAAAAAATATATTTTACTATGATTAAAATAGAGTACAACACCTATATGTTAGGAAATTTATATATAAAGGGGTTTCTATATTTTTTTTTATATCCCCCTAATACATATAATAT